CAAAATTCATACATGATAAGAGCGTGTCGGACATACGATTCAGAGTGCCGGAGGATTGATTTAGATTTATTTCACACTAGCGTACGTAGATTAAAGAAATTAATGTCTTCAAGTTTCTTTCAAACATAATATCTTATTTCTTTTTGTTTTTCTGAACAGTTTTTTTTTTGTTTCGTCATTTGCTGTCTTTTTAAACTAGTAATTTAATTACCTATAAGCGGAAACTTGTTATTGGCCGTTTATCTATAATTTAATCTATCCTTATGTTATACCTAGCTGTAAGTTTTCCTAAAATTGTAAAATAAAAATAAATAAATAAAAAATATATACCAAAAATTGAGACTGTTTTAGGACTTGGAAATACATGTGGAAGGAAGTAATAGCAACTGGCATTTATCAATTAAAATCAATAAGAATCTACTATCCTGATGGAACAACTAGAAACCCTTCACAATCCTGTGATAATAATTGTGTCGCAAGTACAACGAGCTACCCTCGAGTGACATGGGCGTGCCTGATATCAGTACCTCGCTTCACATAATTAACAAGGGTAGGAGAGCCATGCTTCGGCACGAATGGGCCGGCTCGACCGGAGTGATACCACGGCCTCATAGAAGACCGACGTGAAGCAACGCTTGCGTTGTGTTTCGTCGTGTGGGTGAGGTTACCGGAGGCCCAATTACCCTCCTCTTCCCCAATCTCCCCAATCCCTGAATTCCCAACGATCTTCAAACTCCTAATCCAAAAAGCCGGTAACGCATTTGTAACACCTCTGGTGTTCCAGGTGTCCATGGGCGACGCCGATTGCTAACCATCAGGTGATCCGTCTGCTCGTTTACCGGCTTATGCCATAAAGAAAAAGTAGAGCACCAAATCATTGCCGTGACTAAACGCGCGCAGCTCGCCGACAGCGTGGCTCATCAGATGTGGACGCACCCTTATAGTCGATCGACCTTTTACATTCTGTTAAGTATTGCGCAAAGGTTTCAATAACAACAACATCAACAGTTTTTATAATAACTATCGTGAGACAAACTGAATTAACCAAAATGGTCCACTTAATTATCTGCCTCGTTGGCCGAGTGGGCGCAAGTGCGACTGCTGGTCAAGAGGTCTCGGGTTCAATTCCCGGGTCGGGCAAAGTATTACTGGGTTTTAAAAAAAATCTCAGTAGAAGCACGGAGTCTGGAAATGTACCCGGTATATGGCAATAGGTTCACCCCCTATTACATGGGACTCATAACATAAATAGTGAAAGTGGGTGTTACATTGTACAGTGGTATAATGTGCACCTCTGCCTACCCCTTCGGGGATAAAAGGCATGATGTTATGTTATGTGGTTCACTTAATTGAATATACTGAGAAAAGCTCTACTAGTTTCGAGTTACAGAGTACATGAGGAAGAGTCTCTATGAGACTGGAAACGTCACACAGAGTTATAGTAATGTTATGTGCAAAGTAAGCGACATCGTGTACTTGCCAACTAGTCAAATTCAATATGTTATTTTTGAATTGTCAATAATAATGCTTGCTTTTTACGAATTTTGCAGGAGATTGTGTATTAATTGTTATGTCAACGTTTTTAAGCAACAAGAGCATACTTATTTCGTAAAAATTGCTGGATAAATACTAAAATTAAGTTGGTCATAAAATTAATTAATGAAAGTGTGATTATTTTTTAATAATTTATTGTATTGAACAAATGAAATAGTTTGTTTTTGATTAAGGAAAGTACACAATTGTAGATATGGCATTTGGCAATTGTGAAAAGTGGGTGTTACACTGTACAGTGGCATAATGTGCACCTCTGCCTACCATTTCGGGGATAAAAGGCGTGATGTTATGTGTTATGTTATGTTGGTTGAAACCATTATCAAAATGTAGAAGTGCAAACAAATGCATATAAAGTTCAAAATTCAAAATCATTGCCAGTTACCAAAGGTGTAAAGATGGAGGAAGATGAATGAGCGTTTATGGACATTAATATCGACCAAAATCGAGGTTAAGTTCCTTAAAGACAGAGCTAGACTGTTATTGACCCAGTAACGCAAAACAATTTATAGCTATTTTGGACACTCTGAAAACCGCTCACAATGTCTTTAAATAGTAAAACAAATATAAGACCGCAAACTTAAAATTCGACGGTGTATTAATCTGCCGTCACCACTCGACACTGGCAGTATAGTCGACAACATCGTATTGGAGACTCGGTTGCCAAAGGAAAAAAAAAGAGAATAGCACTGCGTCGTATTTGGAAAAATCATTCTTCTTTTCCCCACATTAGGATTTTCTCCTGTGTCGTGGGTGCGTTTACAAACATACAAGTTCACATACACATGACACCCAGACCCGGAACAATACGGGCCTACGGACGGCGAGCACGGGTGACTCGCCGCCCGACCAGAACCATGCCCGAGCGTACGGCGCGTCGTGTTCCGCGCGCGTCTCAAGGAGCCATCAGACCACCACAGATGGGGCCTAACAGGGCTGATGCCGATACGGAGCCGCGGAAGACTTAACGGGTTGCCGGGGCTCCGGCTCGAAGTGCGGGAGTAGGAACGGGGTGGTTTTTAGTTAGTAAGAATCTGACACTCCCTCCCGCCTCACCCGTGCGGGAGAAGTCATTGGATGATATTCCCCCCTCAAAAAAAAAAGACCAGGTACAACGATCTGTGGATCACTCAAAGAGTAGTTCCGTGCAGGAATCGAACCGGCGACACGTTGCGCGGCAGTCAGTTGCCCAACCACCGACCCAGCCGTGCAGTAAATTTTCATCAATTTGGAAAATCATTGCCATGATATATACCAAAAATTGAGACTGTTTTAGGACTTGGAAATACATGTGGAAGCAAGTAATAGAAACTGACATTTATCAATTGAAATCAATAACAATCTACTATCCTGATGAAACAACTAGAAACCCTTAACAATCCTCTGATAAGGATGTATCGCGAATACAATAAGCTACTCTCGAGTGATATGGGCGTGCTTGATATCAGTACCTCGCTTCACATATTTAATAAGTGTGGGAGAGCCATGCTTCGGCACGAATGGGCCGGCTCGACCGGAGGGATACCACGGCCTCACAGAAGACCGACTTGAAACAACGCTTGCATTGTGTTTCGTTGTGTGAGTGAGGTTATCGGAGGTCCAATACCCCCCCTTTTCCCAACCTTGAATCCCAACAATCCTCAAATTCCTAATCCCAAAAGGCCGGTAACGCACTTGAAACGCCTCTGGAGTTCCAGGTGTCCATGGGCATCAAAAATATTATTAGCAAGTGGAAATAGTAGGTACATTATTTTAAAAATCTATTTATTTTTTATAATTTTACGAAATATTATTTCATTAGGAAGTTGTATTAGGTATGTAGGAATAGGAGTAATTGGCGTTCCCTAGTCTCTGCCTACCCCATAGGAGACAGGCGTGAAGTTATCTATGTATGTAAGAGGAAGTTGTTATTCGCTCGGCCTGATGATGAGGACAATATTGAATAATGTATCTATTGTTTATGTGCATTGTTATTTTTCTTTATTATTACCATTTATTTACAATTTCGTTTTTGATTATAATTCTTTATAAATAATTGTTAATAAATAAATACTAGTCGTTGCATGTCATGTTGTGTGCACATATTGTTTTGTTTTCTCTGGACGAACTAATGACCAAAATTGAAGGTGATTACGTGGTGATTACCGTCCACACAGGTTTTTAAAAACAGTAAAAGCACAACTGTTAAAAAATATGGTGATGATATTTTAATTGCTATCACTGCCAATAAGGCGCCCGTGGTTTGCTTTCGAAGTACAGGGCTTGCGTTGCGCTTTCTCTACCTCATGGTGGTGTGGAAATGAGTATTTCTGCCGAAACGTGTGTTGAACTACACTTTACGGCGCTCGTACGCCGAAACTATTGGTTTTTAGCAAAAAAAAAAGGTAAGGACATAAATTGTAGCAAATGTTCTCTTCTATTATTTTGCATCGATATGTTTTTTTGTAAAATACGTCGGAAAGGAGTTATTATCATTATCAAAAAACTGCTTTTAGGCGCCATTTTTGTAATATGGCGTCGCGAGCCGCAAAGATACGAGGTGGCAAAGTTAAAATTCGGAAAGAGCACATAAAAATCTATGAAATTACCAATTTTCTACACTCCCGGAAACCTTTCCAGGCTACCTCTATTTTTTCGACCAAATTACTGTACTATATTATCTAAATATAAAATAGAATGTCCTTATAGTTTGAGGAGAGGTTTACAAAATATAGTTTTGTGCTTACCATGTCACACCCATGCCATTAAAACGTTAATTAAACTTGTAACTGAAACTTCAATAATTTTCTGATCAAAAGTAAGTCGCGAAGGTTTCATAGAAGCCGAGAGAGAATATCGTAAATTTGCCTAAACCATAATTTAATGGTAAAAAGGATTTTGAAGTAAATTAAATAATGCTAATCGTAATTGAAAAACCATTAATAATTTATGATTATGATTTCATAGTTCATTAAAATACTGATTAAGTATTACCTAAGTATTATCATTTAGGTACATACATTAATCAAATATCATTAGGATGTAATTTTAAAAAATAAAATGATATATTTTTTCATAGGTATTTTCAAAACAATTTATCACAATTTTTTGTACTAGTTCCTAATACAAAATACATATTCTTATTGCTATTAGAGCGAAGCTAAATTTGTCCGTTGCGCGGCGTTGAGTCGTCTCGCAGTATTATTTGCCATACATATTTTATGACATTTCCCATTAGAGCATTGCATCGTTTCAACGAATTGACGGACAAGAGACAAAACGGGAGAGAAAGTGATGTACTGTGTCAACGGACAGGACGGATACACGTCATCACGTCATGCGTCGTCGCAACCCTGATGGGGCATACAAGACATTGTTCCGTTGTTACGATGCGACGCAAAGGACAAATGAAACTCGCTCCTTGTCAAAAATACTATTTTACTCATACAAAGGTAAACTTCACTATTGGTTTAATCAACTGTTAAATTCCTAAAAGACCCGGGCATGCCCATATATTCTTCATTGAACTTTTCCGTGTGTCGTTTGGACTCATCCGTGCCGGCTTTGTACATCATTTTCAAATGCTCTACGTGTTTCTTAGAGGACAGTTCGTCCACCCATTCAGCTGTAATCGAAATGAAAGTAAATTAACAATTGGAAGCATTTATGAGTTACCTCACCCATTGAAGATCATGAAGTCATTAAAATAAACAACTTTTCACAATAAATACAACTGAATCGATGCTGATGAGATTTGTTCCAAACCGTTGGAATTAACTTTGCAAAAGACTAATATAAAATCCAAAATTTGCCAGAAGTCATTATTATACGCGGACAAAGTCGCGGGGAACAGGTAAATGTTTAAGTATTAGAATTATTGAACATGAGTGTGGGAGAGCCATGCTTCGGCACGAATGGGCCGGCTCGACCCGAGTGATACCACGGCCTTACAGAAAACCGACGTGAACCAACGCTTTCGTTGTGTTTCGTCGTGTGAGTGAGCTTACCGGAGGCTCAATTACCTTCCCCTTCCCCAATCTCCCTAATCCCTGAATCCCCAACAACCCTCAAACTCCTAATTCCCAAAAAGCCGGTGACGCATTTTTAACGCCTCTGGTGTTCCAGGTGTCCATGGGCGACGCCGATTGCTTACCATCAGGTGATCCGTCTGCTCTTTTACCGACTTATGCCATAAAAAATGATTGTACTGTTACCCATGTCATGCTTTCTTTACCTTGCATTTTGTAATAAGACTTCTGTTTGCCTCCGTACTCTTCTGGCAGAACATCTCTGGGCACTATTTCATATAAATCTTCTAGAGTCTTATGCACTTGAATTCTTTGGCCAACCTTCTCACTAAGAAGCTGCTTAACAGTAGATACAAGAATTTCTATAGCCTTGGAATCTGTTATAAAGTGCAAGTTCTTCATTCTTCCACCGTATCCTTTCTGAACAGAATATGATAGACATGTATCAATATTAGTGTTAAAAATACCGCTAAAATTAAACCTAATTGAATGAAAGTGTGGGAGCTATGCTTCGGCTCGACCGGAGTGATACCACAGCCTCACAGAAAACCGACGTGAAACAACGCTTGCGTTGTGTTCCGTCGTATGAGTGAGGTTACCGGAGGCCTAATCACCCCTCTTCCCCAGTCTCTTCAATCAAATTCCCAATTGGGTAGTTTCCTAAATTTTACTTTTAATGTCCGTCTGGTACATTAATTTAAAACTTTAAACACGTATTTTTTTCTTTTCTGACAAAATTAAATACTTTCGACGATATATTAATTTAAAATATCGTGTGACGTCACAGCGTACCACATTTTGTAGCACGTTATGACGTAACGACCTCCCACTCCTAATCTTAGCGCCATTTTATTTGTATTGCAACTTAGTACGAGAATATAAAAAAATACGCGTCTAATATTGTTTCATTATCTAACTGACGGACTAATTAGATTTTTAATTTTGATACCCTGGAAACTACCCAGTTCCCATAGGGTCAGTAACACATTTTTAACGTCTCTGGTATTGCGGGTGTCCACGAGCGGTACAGATTGCTTACCATCAAGTGATCTGCTCTTTTACCTATATATATATACCTCTATATGATACTTACAACTAAAATATTGAGAAATGGTTGAACATCCGGACTTGTCAGTCGTGTGATAAGGTTGAACAAGTTTAGGTCGCGATAATCAATTATTAATATATACCCATGGACGTAGTCGTTATTCCGAATATAATCAGCAAGCTGAAAGTAGCAAACACATTTCTATATGAGTTATGACTTATTTTATAAAACATAACATAACATCACGCCTTTTATCCCCGAAGGGATAGGCAGAGGTGCACATTATGCCACTGTACAATGTAACACCCACTTTTCACTATTTATGTTATGAGTCCAATGTAATAGGGGGTGAGCCTATTGCCATATACCGGGCACAATTGTAGACTCCGTGCTACTACTGAGATCTTTTTAAAACCCAGTGATATTTTGCCCGACCCGGGAATCGAACCCGAGACCCCTTGCCCGGCAGTCGCACTTGCGACCACTCGGCCAACGAGGCAGTCGAGATTTTATAAAGTACGTTTATAAAAACTGACTCCAACTCCCTCTTTGTTGAAATCAGTTAATCAATGTAGGTACTGAAATCTTGTCCTAAGTGTAACAAACACTTTTTGAAAACCGCATCAAAATCGGTTCCGCCATTTGCGAGAGAATAGCGCACAAACATACATACATACATACAGGTCAGACTGAGAGAACTTCCTTCTTTATTTGAAGTCGGTTAAAAATGGAAGATTATGCTAAAATGTATTATGATAAAGTTGCATTCTCTATACTTCTGTTAAAATCTTTGTTTGTTAATCTATGGATCATGCCAGCCTCGTCTTATTTTTTATAAGTATTTATAAGTCATAAAGTGTGGGAGAGCCATGCTTCGGCACGAATGGGCCGGCCCGACCCGAGAGACCACGGCCGAGCAGAAAACCTACGTGAAACAACGCTTGCGTTGTGTTTCGTCGTGTGAGTGAGGTTACCGGACCCCCAATTACCTTCCCTTCCTCAATCTCCCCAATCCCTGAATCCCCCACAATCCTCAAATTCCCAAAAGGCCGGTAACGCATTTGTAACATAAATAAGTAAAAATGATGTTTACTTACAATTAAAATATATTGAAAGAACTGTAGTAATTCCTCCGGCGTAAGGTCGTTATTGAAAGTTTTGAACAAAACCAATCTGTAGTAATCATCGGACATATGTGGAAGAGGAATTATCCATCTGTAATAGAAATAGTCATAGTCAAAGCATTTATTTCAATTAAACCATAATTTGTGATACCATGGCCTCACAGAAAACCGACGTGAAGCAACGCTTGTGTTTTGTCGTGTGAGTGAGGTTACCGAAGGCCCAATTACCCTCCCCTTCCCCAATCTCCCCAATCTCTAAATCCGCAACGATCCTCAAACTCCTAATCCCCAAAAAGCCCGTAACGTACTTGTAACGCCTCTGGTGTTCCAGGTGTCCATGGGCGACGCCGATTGCTTACCATCAGGTGATCCGTCTGCTCGTTTACCGGCTTATGCCATAAAAACAAATTGGTACTTTTGAAACGTCAACAAAAAAAATAGTCTGTCAGTCAGACCGTCAGTGAAGCTAGGTGCTTATTCCAAAATGTAGATTCGATTGAAGAAGAACGAGCTAGAAACTCCATTCGTTACTCTTTTTAAAAAGTATGTTTTACAATGTCTCTGATACATATACCAATATTGTACGTATACATGTGAGAATAATGCAAAGACATCCTTGCCGCATTATACTAATTACAAAACTTACTAAATTTAATTAATAACATAACACAACATCACGCCTTTTATCCGTTATGTGCAGAGGTGCACATTACGGCACTTAATGCCACTGTACAATGTAACACCTACTTTTCACTATTTATGTTATGAGTCCCATGTAATAAGGGATGAGCCTTTTGCCATATACCGGGCACAATTCTAGACTCCGTGCTACTACTGAGGTTTTTACAAGCCCAGAGATACTTTGCCCTATATCATCACGCCTTTATCCCCGAAAAGGTAGACAGAGGCACACATCATGGCACTTAATGCCGCTGTACAATGTAAAACCCACTTTCACTATTTATGTTATGAGCCCCATGTAATAGATAGTTAACCTATTGCCATATACCGGGCACAGTTCTAGACTCCGTGCTACCACTGAGATTTTTTTAAACTGAATACTTTGCCTGACTCCCAGAATCTAAAACGAGAATCCATGCTTGGCAGTCCTACTTGCGACCACTCGGCCAACAAAACAATTGAATTTACATGTGTAAATTATTAAGTTCAAATAAATAATGAATGTCAGAAGTTCAGACTACGATTTAAAGATGCATACATAATGTTATCCATTCGAGAAACATTTCCTTTATCATTTGATAAGATCTTGATTGCACGATTGGCGCGGTGGTCGGGCACGTGTCGCGGGTTCGATTCCCGCACGAAACAACTCTTTGTGTACTCCACAGATTGTTTTTCCGGGTCTGGGTGTCATGTGTTTGTGAACTTGTATGTTTGTAAACGCACCCACGACACAGGAGAAAATTCAAGTGTGGGGCAACGATTTAAAAAAAAGAAAAAAAATCTTAAATTGTCTTGCCCTTGATCAATATAAAATATAGGTACCCTTTCTGTAACACCTTGATATTATTTATTTAAAACAAATCGCTTTGAACATGACATTTACTCATTGATATTGGCCCATTCTCACTATGAAAATAAAAACTTTATGTTTGAAATACAACATTCACTTTAAGCTAGTTAAAAATAACTATAGTTACAGAGTGAAACGCTTCCGAAAACATAAAAAGTATTGATTTTACAAGCTTAATTGTTTTTGTTTTCCTGTTATTTATGCAACATCATGTATGCAATATGCTTCGGCACGAATGGGCCGGCTCGACCGGAGTGATACCACGGCCTCATAGAAGACCGACGTGAAACAACGCTTGCGTCGTATTTCGTCGTGTGAATGAGGTAGAGGTCCAATGTATGTCCGATGAACTCATAAACTGGTGCACGGATTTACCTCAAATTTTGCATGAGTATTACGAACAGGTCGGGTCAACATATAGGCTACATATTATCACGCTATCACCTACAGGAGAGGAGCTGTAAATCACTCTTCCCGCGCGTGGACGAAGTCGCTGGCACAGCTAGTATAAAAAAAAACATTTAATTCCTTACTTTTCTTAATACTTTCTACTAATATAATAACTAGGCAACCGGGCAAACTGGGCAACTGGGCAAAGTGTAGCGGGTTCGATACCCGCAAGGAGCAACTCTATGTGTGATCTACAAATTGTTGTTCCTGGTCTGGGTGTTATGTGTATGTAAACTTGTGTTGTGTGTTTGTATACGCACCCACGGCACAGGAGGAAATCCTAGTGTGGGGCAAAAGGGGGCCTAGTTTTTAATAACGAAATCAAAACAAATCAAATATGTCATTATTATACCAGAAATTTTTATTGTCATAAAGGACAAAAATGAGATTTCCTACTGAAATCTAAAAAAAAAAACATTTTACTTTTTAGGCTCTAGGTAGCAAAAAAAACTTTTTTTTACATTTTTTTTTCAAGCAATGCACTACTTTACGACATGAAAAGAAACCCTAACTATGTTTTAGTGTTCCATCCACATAAATTAACTAAAGTCAACATTATTTTTGGATGGTATTTAATACTTTACCTGTAAATGCCCAATAATACTGAATTGCACACTAAATTTGCTCATCAAATAAATCAATATACTATACTGTTAGATCTTTAAAGCTTAACTGTTTTACTGAATGACTATCTTTTAACTAAAAGTAAATCTAATAATTCTTCGAGAGCACCAAAATCTTAACCTAACCCATAATCTTAAGGTCGTGAAAAAAAACACAAAACATAACCTAACCTAATATTGAACAATTTGTGTGCAAATCAGTATTTTTGTTTTACGGTTCATTTTTTTGATATGCAGTAGGTTATTAGTGGAGAAATTTGGTTTGCTTAAATTATTAAATAGAGGTGCAGTAAAAAAATCCCCATTGATTAAGCCAAAATAAGAGTCGTTTTAATATAATCTACTTACACTTTTTTCAAAATTGCCTGTAGCTCAACTTTCACGTTGTATCTTGAGAAAAATTTTGGCACCATAGTTTTCATTGTACACAAAAGGTCTATTTGTTTCTTCACCCTTTCTACTGACCCTTTGCATGTTACAATCGCTGTCTCATAAAACCGCTGACCTGAAAAAAATAACATAACATTATAAACAACTTATTTTTAACACCTTAAACGCCATGGGGGACAAAGTATGGGACATGATAGCGGAGGATTTACCTTTTTTTGTGGCATTAGCCGGTAATCGAGCAGACAGATCACCTGATGGTAAGCAATCGGCGTCGCCCATGGACACCTGGAACACCAGAGGTGTTACAAGTGCGTTACCGGCTTTTTGGGGATTAGGAGTTTGAGGATTGTTGGGGATTTAGGGATTGGGGAGATTGGGGAAGGGGAGGGTAATTGGGCCTCCGGTAACCTCACTCACACGACGAAACACAACGCAAGCGTTGCTTCACTTCGACATGCCAACAGTTTTCTGTTGGCAGTCAAAGGCCTAACAATACTACTTAGTAGAGCCATACTTCGGCACGAATGGGCCGGTTCGACCGGACTATTTAGAGATACCACGGCCTTATAGAAAACCGACGTGAAACAACGCTTGCGTTGTGTTTCATAGTGTGAATGAGGTTACTATAAGCCTAATTACCCCCTTCCTATGATCCCCATCCCCGAATCCCCAACAGTTGTACAACAACATGTGTATGTTAAATTGTATGTTTGTAAACGCACGATACAGGAGAATATCCTAGTGTGGGGAAACGTTTAAAAAAAAAATTCTCAAATTCCTAATCCACAAAAGGCCAATAATCCACTTTTTTTTAAAAGGACAAGCCTGCCACAATCTTCCAAAACCGCTGCTACTCTTGTAAGCCAGGATCTACAGTAGATACAACCATGAAGACACTGGTAACGCACTTGTAATGCCTCTGGTGTTTCAGGTGTCCATGGGCGAAGCCGATTGCTTACCGTCAGGTGATCCGTCAACTCGTTTACGGCAGGTCCGTTCATTTTCCATTACAAAACAAAATATAGTATACACCTATACGAAGATATAAATTCAGAAAACACTAAAAGTGTCTAGGTTTAAGTATTTATAATTCTATTTTAAGCGATGAATAATTGAATGTTGCATTTTGTAGTTCTTAATATAGATGAAGGTCAGAGGTATGATCAAAAATTATTATTGTTCAAGTTTAATTCATTGTTCTGATTGAATTTATGTACAGTGGTCAGCATAGCTATCTACTCCAATGTGTCAATTTTTGTCATTGGATTCTCGGTTTTATTTCTAAACGATAAAGTTATAAATCCAAAAAGGAGCAGGTTGTACAAAAAGTGATATGATTAAAATAGGTTTGTTCTCGCTTTCATATTTTCGGAATTTCGGAAAACTCGCTTTTAATGATCACTTAGAATAAATTTTAATTTACGGTCCGTAAGAAATGTGCCAACCAAATATTAGGTTCCTAAGTCCAGTATTTTAAGAAGTTTTGGGCGTCACTCATCATATACTGTGGAGTAGGAACGGGGTGGTTTCTACTCAATAGGATTCTGTCAAAGTCAAAATCAAAGTAATTATTTCAATTTATTCATAAGTAGGCACTTTTAAAACGTCTTTTATCTCCGAAGGGGTAGGCAGAGGTGCACATTACGGCACATTGCCACTGTACAATGTAACACCCACTTTTCACTATTTATGTTATGAGTCCCATGTAATAGGGGGTGAGCCTATTGCCATATACCGGGCACATTTCCAACACCGTGCTACAACTGAGATTTTTTTTAACTCAATAATACTTTGCTCGACCCGGAAATAGCACCTGAGATTCATAACATAAATAGTGAAAAGTGGGTGTTTACATTTTACAGGGCTTTACTTAAGTGCCGTAATGTGCACCTCTGCCTACCTCTTCGGGGATAAAAGGCGTGATGTTATATATGTTATAATGTATAAATATAATATTGTTATCTAAAGCAAAGAATTACAAATTTCGAAAAACTAAAAATGCTAATCAAATTGAATAATTAAGTGGTCTCACCAAAAGATATTTAAAACCAAAATATAACCTTGGTCTGGAGCTTGTTATATACGTTTTTAAAACTGGTCCATATATATTTTTATTCATAAAAAATAATGTGAAATTATAAAATCAATAAGGCTGATTTTAGTTTGATGCTGAGGCCCGCACACCATCAGTGCTGATGTTCGAGATAACTCCGTGGTCATCACGTGTCATTCAAAAACGCTTCCTAGAAGTTGATTATATGATAATATAATAAGTATTGATAGTAGTTTAATTAGATTATATTTTGCTTTATATGTTGCCGTGCCCTAGCCGGGTTTCATGTTGATACTGTACCTCATGTAACACCAATTGTACACATGATATGCAATAAAAGAATTTGAATTTGAATTTGAATTTGAATTTGATCTCGACCTATCAGCGCGACAATAAAACCGACCTTAAAGTGTCTAATAATAGAAATTGTAGCTATTTTAGCTTTAAATTGCGATTTTTATTACGAATGAAGGTCTTCAATAAAATTTAGTAAAGGTTTTTTTTATAGTTACCTAATGCTATAGAAAACTAATAAGTGTAAATCGCTAATCATCAGCGTCGAGGTCCTGCGGACGGCGAGCATGGGTGGATCGCCGCCCGACCAGAACCAGACCGAGCGTATGGCGCGTCGCGTTCCGCGCGCGCCTCAAAGAGCCATCAGACCACCACGGATGGGGCCCAATAGGGCTGCTGCCGATTCAGAGTCGCGGAGAACCTAACGGGTTACCGGGGCTCCGGCTCGAAGTGCAGGAGTAGGAACGGGGTAGTTTTTAGTCAGTAAGATTCTGACACTCCCTTCCGCCTCACCCGGGCGGAAGAAGTCATTCGATGATTTTCCCCCCTTAAAAAAGAAACATGTAATAAAACTGTAGACGTGTAATGTAAATTCTGAAACCGTCGTCCTGGTGTCGCTGGACATAGAGGGTGCCTTTGACAATGCCTGGTGGCCAGCCCTGAAACATCAGCTCATAGCCAGAAAGTGTCCGAGAAACCTGTACGCTATGGTGAACTCCTACCTCAACGAACGGAAAGTGAAAGTAAATTTTGCCGGAGCTAGCAGCGAAAAGAGGACTAATAAGGGTTGCGTTCAAGGGTCCGTAGGTGGACCTACTTTTTGGAACCTTGTCCTCGATCCGTTGCTACACAGACTCGCAGGAGAGGGAGTTTACTGCCAGGCTTTTGCGGACGACGTGGTTCTCTTGTTCTCGAACTATAAAGTGAGTGCATTGGAGCAATCGGTAAATGGTGCCTTGGAACTAGTAGCAGCCTGGGGGGTCAGCAACAAGCTCAGATTCGGGGCAAGTAAAACGAACGCTATGCTGCTGACAAGAAGGCATGTTTTTGAGCCCCCAGACCTGTTTATGGCAGGCACCAGAATAAATCTCGTAGAAGAGGTAAAGCTCTTAGGCCTCACGATAGACAGAAAACTCACCTTCAGGTCACATATATCTGCCATATGCAAGAAAGCTGCAGACATTTACAAACAGCTAGCACGCGCAGCCAAGGTGACGTGGGGTCTCAACGGGGAAATAACGAGAACAATATACGTCGCGGTCATTGAGCCGATTGTACTTTACGCCGCAAACGTGTGGGCCCCAGTGACGGAGCTACAGGTGATCAAAAAACAGTTAAATGCTCTTCAAAGGGGATTCACACAAAAAATCTGTAGAGCTTATCGTACAGTGTCGCTCACGTCAGCAACAATCTTGTCCGGAACTCTCCCACTCGATCTGAGAGTCCAGGAATTTGCTAGTTTGTATCGAATTAAAAGAGGATTCTCTCTGGACTACTTACCACCTCAAAAGGAGCTTGAAAAGCGGGTCCATTACCTGGACCAGCCACATCCCTCAAAATTAATGTCTATCAACTATGAGCTCCTGGAGAACGATGACTCTGGATCTCCTCTCGTCCAAAATATTGCTGGCCCTCAATTATACACAGATGGCAGCAGAATTAACGGAGGCGTTGGTTCTGCCTTGACTTGGTGGGAGGGCGGTCGTGAGTCATGTTTTCCACTTTTAGTTTAGACCCTTCCTGCACGGTTTTCCAATCTGAACTATACGCTTTGAACAGAGCGGCTAAAATGGTTCTCGACAATGGAGCGACTAGAGTAAACATATTTAGTGACTCTAGGTCCTCCCTCGATGTTTTGAAGAATCCCAGGATTACCCACTGTTTGGCCAAGGAGATAAAGCAGTGTTTGGAGACCATAACGGAACAGGGAAGAGAGATTCGATTCTACTGGCTGAGGGCCCATGTTGGAACGGCTGGAAATGAGAGGGCAGACGAATTAGCTAAAACCGCTGCCAAACAGAAAAATAACACCACGGCAGACTACTGTAGAATACCCATGTCCTATGTCAAAAAGAAAATTAGGGACGAAACTATCCGTAAGTGGCAGGACAGGTATACCACCTCAACTACTGGGCAGGTGACTAAAACGTTTCTCCCAGATGTCCATGAGGCATATCGAATAGTGAGATCAACAAAGTTGACACCTGCCCAAGTTCAGGCGCTGACTGGACATGGAGGGATCGCTGAATATCTGCATCGATTTAAACTAAAAGAAAGTGCAGGTTGCGAATGCGATCAACTATCAGTGAGTCTGTATGGCACATTATTCTAGAGTGTCCTCGTTTTCTAGCCGCAAACCAACTTAGAAAATGTAATAGATGCAAATCTGGATTCCTCAAATCTGAGTGCCATTCTGGCTGATAAAACCAAAAGACCGCATTTTCTGAGCTACATTGAAACCATCTTCAACAGGGCGGCTGAAAGAAACAGCACATTAAATAATACAAATCGAATAGCCAACTTGGAGAATCAACCAAATACTTCCATGGCAGTATCCGAGATCGCCCGTACCACTGAACCGCTCACCATCAATGAGAGGCAAATACTCTTGCATGGAGAATGCGGCTCCAAAGGAATACGGCTACGAAGTGTAGCTCTGTTCATGAACACCAGCAGCGAAAGGCTAGGGATAGCCTTCTGCGAAAGCAAGAACAGCAAATGGCTTACTATTTCACCCGGCTTAGCCTCCCTAATGAATGGCAGCACATCCAAGACAAGTATGCGGCGCAAAACATACGATGCGCTGCCAGAAATGCAACTGTTGGGTCGGAGCTGTCGACTACTGCGAACACGCAATAAAACAATTGCAATGTTCTCCAGCGTCGACTCAATGACTTGTTTTGAACAAGCTTGCGGTGTGCTGTCGGACATGGGTGGGCGGGGAGAGGTCGAGGGTATGAGTCCCAGAATAATTAGTGTGGACGCTGCCGTGGTAGCTTATGAGAAGGGGAGAACGGCAGACCTTATAGGATGCGTCAGGGCTTCAGAACATCATGAAGTCATCGTGTACGAGAACAGGGGTGAGGACTTGAGTTTCCTCAAAAAGCCAGTTCGATACGCGCTAGGGTGGATTCTCCAAGCGGCTCAGAGCGTCTACAACAAAGATATAGGCAACAAAGCGCTCTGCAACAACACCAACAAAACACCGAGAGGGAAAATAAAAAATTAGAATCACGAGGTAGAGTGTGGGCAATAACAGCGGCCATATGCTCAGTAACCGGACTGATTTCGTCACCCTTCAGAAAAAATGTGGTTAAATCTGCTCAAGGATCAGGAGGCGCACAAATACAGTCTCCTCCCCCCAGGTCATCACCAACAAGAGCAGCTATGGGTCACGTTTGTCCGCCGAGGCTTCGACAAGCGTCCACTACCAGAGACCATGTCGTAAATGCTTTTCTCGAGTTTACCGCAGTGGTGGAGGCAACCAGGCAGGTCAACATGCGGAAATGCGAATCCATTCTGCAGACTTACCTGCAAGGAAACGAGCTAATACTGAACGATAGACTCGAAGCAGCAGAAGCAGTCATATACGACAACAACACCTCGAGGGTACTGAGAGGAACCTCTATAACTCGAAGTATGGCTGCTTATAACGCAACTGCAGGATTTGTGTCTCTGGACGAGAGGGAATCCGATCGATGCGGAGTGTTAAAGTTTAAAACTCCTCCAGGGGATTCCCTAGTAGTGGTTGCCAAATGCACGAGAATTATGCTGGACGATAGAATATTAGAGATGGCAAGATCCATTTCTGATTCTGGATCAGACGGCGAAGTTTTTGGAGACTGGCATACTCCGACGTTTCGCTGGACAAATGGCGTCCCTGGTTGCGGAAAAACGACATGGATAGTAGATCAATTTGAAGCGGGCAAAGATCTAATTGTCACCACGACAACCGAAGCAGCAAATGACCTCAGAGGCAAACTATCCTGCCGAATCGGAGGACTCGTCAAATCTAGGGTTCGAACAATGGCGTCCATCCTAGTAAACGGCTTGGGGGAGCGAGAGAGCTGCCATCGACTAATGGTAGATGAGGCTCTCATGAACCACTTTGGAGCCGTTGTGATGGCCGCCCGAATAACTCGAGCCAAGGAAGTCCTTCTAATTGGTGACATAAATCAGCTTCCGTTTATAGATCGTGATAACCTCTTCCCTCTACTCTACAGCCGCCCTACATATATCACGCCCATAAGCCAGGAATTGATGTGTACCCACAGAAATCCAATGGATGTGGCGTATGCCCTCAGCACAGTTTACAGTGGCATATACTCGTCCAGGTCGTTCGTGAGATCCCTCGAGATAAAAAGGTTCTCGGGGGCGATGATTCCAAAGTCACTCCCCGACACTTTATACCTGGTACACACTCAGGCAGAGAAGGAATCCCTTAAGAACCAGGGATACGGGTCGACCGTGGGATCACGCGTGCTCACGATACACGAGGCACAGGGACTTTCGTGTGCGAATGTGATTGTTGTCAACACAGCAACAAAGAAACATCAAATACATGACAGCGTACCACACGCGGTAGTAGCAATATCGCGTCACACGCATGGTTGCATCTATTACACAGACAACAGTGAAGACGCGATAAGCAAACTAATCAGGAAGGCGGCTGATGAGGGTGAGCAGGTATTAAGGACTACAACCTGAAAATGGCTATCAACACAGGGACGCGGCAGTCATGGGTGCTCTCTTGGGCGGGGAGTGTTGCTTGTGATGGAACGAATGCAACATGAGGAAATGTGTGTGCAGAAACATGTAGAAATAGAATATAACCAATTGACTTTGGACTATTGTACGCTTTATTGGAATCGGCCCATGTGGCAAAGGTTGAGGCGTCATGCACACATAAATGTCCTACAGTCGGTGGCGCTGTGTGTTGGGTTGTTCCGTTCCCAATAAAAAGGTTGACCGGACCAATTGCTGACACACACGTCATACTCGTGAACGGGTGCCTTCTGCTGGGTCAGGTCGGCTCTCCCATCTTGTTGGTGGGCTGGTTTCATAAAGCCTTTGAAATAGAAATAAATAAATAGTGCCTAATTATTATGTAACCTATACTTTTGGTAATAATTTTAGATATAGTTAATTGTAGTGTGTAACTAGGTTCCCTCTTTACTTTATAAAAATTGACTAGATGTATTATAATTAAAAAACTGTATGACAAGGGCACGGACCTAGAGTCCGTGGAGAAATAATTTGTAATATTAAAAAAAAAAAAAAAAATGTAAATTCTGTACTTTGAAATGGGCCTCCGCTAACCTCACTTACACGACGAAACAGGGTGAGGCGGGAGGGAGTGTCAGACTCTTACTGACTAAAAACCACCCCGTTCCTTTTACTACACTTCGAGCTGGAGCCCCGGTAACCCGTTAGGTTCTCCGCGACTTTATTATATGTATAGGTTTTTTATTCAACGTTAGGAAAACGTAATATATCAAATTATAAGTTCATGTTTTCTTACGAATTTTTCTTACACCGTATTACAGTGATGTTCAATAACAAATGAAAAACTTAAAAAAGAAGAAGAAACTTACTGAAATCCTTTTTGATGAGATGAGGCTGCTTCTGCACCCAATCTTCTAAAATCTTGATGGTCTCATTCAATCTCTTCGGGTCATCTAGACCGTAGAGCTTCCTTATATCATTTATTATAACTGGAGTAGTATTCAGCAAAGGATTTTCAATTGAACCCATACTGTAAGTGTGTAATAAGGTTTATTTTTCAGTAACACTTATTTTGATCGAGTCTGGTAGTTGAGAAGTTAATTGATATGTATTTTGTTCGCCTGTGTAATCACGACTGGGTTTTATATCACAAGTTGGGTTGTCTTTATAAGTTTTGGTACGACATTTCTTGTGGCACACACACACATGCACGGATGTAGAAAATTTTATACGTACCTATATACGAGTATTATAGCATTTACATTTTTAATTGTCTTATTGGTTTAATACAAGGTCTATCGAACAGGAGATCTTGATTTTGAATTCTCTCGAATATATAGTTGTTATAAAAAAGACACGTCTTTTTGCTAACTATATATTAAATGTAACACCTATTTTTGTCAGTTGTATACAGACCAGCCAGTAAGTGAATCTACTCTTGATTGAAGGTACAACTTGATATTAATACTATCTAATAATTTCCATCATCGTTATTCCAGACTCCACGGTCTCATAGGTATATAATATAACATATTACCTTTTATCACGCGTTTTATCTACGAAAGGGAAGGCAGAGGTGCACATTTCAGAACCCAATGCCAGTGTATAATGTAACACCCACTTTTCACTATTTATGTTCTGAGTCCCATGTAATAGGGGGTGAGTCTATTGCCATATACTGGGCACATTTCCAGACACCGTGCTACCGCTGAGATTAAAAAAAACCCAGTAATACCTTGCCCGACCCGGGAATCGAACCCGAGACCACTCGGCCAATGAGGCAGTCAACGACACTACAGTCTCGTAATGGATATTGTTGGTCCCACCAGCTATCCGAAATGAATATCCTCAAATTTCATTACTCGAACTGCTAAGAAGTAGAATTCTTTGCTAGAGTCTGTATTTCCTGAAGATAACCTGGTTGTCTTCAAGTTCTGAGTGAACAGGATGCTTGTATGTATGATCGCTTACCACCTGCAGCTGTAGCCAAATGCCATTTAGCGCTTGTAGAATAGAAAACAAAATTATATTATTACTAGCTTTTACCCGCAGCTTCGCTCGCGTCACAAAAGGATAAAAAGTAGCCTATGTGACATATACCAATACACACAGCGCCATCTGTACCAATACTTTTGTTTCCCTCGGGAATATCAAATGTTTCCGGGATAAAAAGTACCCTATTATTTAATTCAGACTTCTAACTTTACGTCTGCAAAAATTCAAAGCAATCGGTTTAGTAGTTACGGCGTGATAGCGGAACAAACAAACAAACAAACAAACTCACTTTCCAATTTATAATATTATATATAAATATATAGTAAGGATGGAATTGACGTAAATTTTGACACTTGTCAGTGTCATCCCCATACATTTTGATTTCTACACTCTCCGTAGACAAGCGCTAAAGTGGTGTTTGGCTAAAGGCCCTGGGCCTTGGGTAAAAATCGAAATGTATGGGGATGACACTGACAAGTGTCAAAATTTACGTCAATCCCATATAATTTAGTTTTCTACTCTACTTGTAGACAAGCGCTAAGTGGCATTTGGCTACAGCTGCAGGTGAGATAGTAGTTATTGCGAAAAAAATAAGCAATAAAGTTTATAATCGAATAAGTTTTGATAGAAAGTAATTGGTACCTGCTGGCGTCTTCATATAGGTACATTCCATGTATGTTGTGTAATAGGAGCTGAGTGAGCCTGTTGCCATACACTGAGAATTTTAATCTCCAAACTAAAGTAACATAATAAAAAAGCTAATCTGTTCATTCAATTTTTTTTTGCATTTTATTTATTTTATATAACAATAAAAGTGTGATAAGGAAACGGTAATAGAAAAAACATATTATATGAAGCGCAAGAGTTTGTTTTTTTGTTTGTTTGTTTGAACGCGTTAATCTCCGTAACTACAAGTCTGAATTGAATAATTCTTTTTGTGTTGGATAGCGCATTTATTGAGGATGGCTATAGGCTATAAAACATCACGCTACGACCAATAGGAGCTGAGCAGAGCGTGTGAAACCCCGCGGAAATAGCTAGTAAAAGAATAAAATTTAAGCTTGTATGTTTGTCTGTTTGCACACTCTAAGCTCAGGAACTAATAGACAGATTTTGATGAAATTTTTATTTGTGGTATGTTTAATAAGCCTGGGTAACATATGGGGATTGATTTGTTAACACTCAAGACAAATGAAAACTGCTTAAAGTCCTTCCACGTGGACAGAAGTTGTGGACAAAAACTATGTAAGATTAATCCAACTCGAGTTTCCTTCCTTGCCATTAAATTGACAAGTCAGTCAAACCAACTTATAACATACCTGACAATTATAAGTACTCGTGTATATATTACTTATATATAATGCAATACATATTGTCGTGATATAGTAAATAATTTTATTTTTATCCTTCGGTGACGGTACACGTTACACTTGTTTATGTATGTAGAGGTATATTTATTTATTTATCGCACAATGTGCATACATAGAGGTCTGTTTTTAAATTTCTTCCTTTTCTTTTATTTTTTAACATGTGTCTTATGTAACCTTATGTATGTATGTATTATTTTTTCCAAATTATTTTTCGTTGCTGCCGTCCGTGCGTCACTGCAGGGGTGCCAACTGAAAACCAGTGTTGGGTACTTACTGTGCCCAGCTTAAACTGAGTTGGCGAGCCCTTTCGCCGTGGGCATGCTGCCACCCTGTTGCTGTTTTATTTTCCTTTTTTTAAATGTTTTTTTTTTGCTTTTATTGTTTTTTTACTGCTGTTTTTTTAATGTTATTTTATGTGTTTATTGTTTTTTTTAATTTTTGTTTTTCAATGTTATTTTATATGTGTATATTTGGTGGTCCATGCTTGTGGTGAATAAATTATTTTTCTTTCTTTCTTTCCATTACATATAACATTTAGAGGTACATTGTATGAAATGAAATGAAATGAAACCTTGTTTGTGATAATATATCAACTGTAATTTCGATTTTAATTGGTCATTAAAATCGAAATAAAGTACCTGTGCCTACCACAAGACGATTTAGCATCTATCCTCAATGTTAATTAGTTGTCAAGTAACTTTTTGTTATTTTATAAGACTATACTATCTGGGGGCATGGCAGTGCCTCTGCCAAGTCGAGCGCGAAGTAAACACTGCCGTACCATCGTTTACTGGAACCATTTCGCCGCATTTTCAGGCCCCTATTTTGAGAACTTCTGTATATAAGACCAGAACGCTGAAAATGTTATCATCCAATCGGAGTAAATGGTACACAAAGATGTAAAACCAACCAGGACACAATTGCATCAATCTGTTTATTCAATCAACTCTTTCCTAGTGGAAATTTTCCATTCTTAAAGGGTACCGGTTCAACGGTCAAGTCACACGACATATAATATTATTATATAAAATTGTCGTGTCACAGTTTTCGTTGCCATACTCCTCCGAAACGGCTTGCTTGACCGATTTTGATGAAATTTTTTGTGCTTATCCGGTATCTACCTCAATTTTTACCTTATGATCAACCCTTATTTTTTAATAGCCATTTTACATATTTTTAATAGCAAAACAACGTTTGCCGTGTTAGATAGTTAACTATATTAATAAACAAATCACAGTAAGGAACCTTAGACTTGACACGATTTTGTCTAGATTTCATTACTATTTAGAGATGCACGAGCGGCTCCATCGAGACTTGGCTAGTGTTTTACAGAATGTTTTTGATTGAATTACTTTTCCAAAAAGTAGTTTCTTGTTTTTTCTATTTTTATGCTTAATGTTCGCCGCGACTTCGTCCGCGTATAATAATGACTTCTGGCAAATTTTGGATTTTTTAAGTAGTCTTTTTCAAGGTTAATTCCAATGCTGTGTAACAAATCTCATCAAAATCAATTTAGTTTTATTTATTGTGTAATGTTGTTTATTTTCGTGATTTCAAAAAATAAACAACCCACAGGATTTTACCCGTATTTTTTTAAGGGGGAAAATCATCGAATGACTGCTCTCGTCTGGGTGAGGAGGGAGGGAATGTCAGACTCTTACTGACTAAAAGCCACCCCGTTCCTTCTCTTGCACGTTGAGTTGGAGCCCCGGTTACCCGTTAGGTTCTCCGTGACTCCGAATCGGCATTGGCCCTGTTGGGCCCCATCTGTGGTGGTCTGATGGCTTTTTGAGGCGCACGCGGAACGCGACGCGCCGTACGCTCGGGATTTTACCCGTATAGTATCCATTCTCGTGAGGTTTCAGTGATTAAAACTCCATTTGAATTCCCATCAAATAGTACGGCGGTTGAAAATTACCAGGCGTCACTTTCCATGTCTCAAACTATCGTTATACCATTATTGCACTCAAATCATACTCAAAAATCTCAGTGGTTTAAGCAATAGAGAGTCCCGTAATTTTAACGCATAGTTCTTGTCCCGTAATATTTCCATTCCAGTGCCAATGTCTCAAACTCTCGTTGAAATAAAATTTCAATCAAATAGGTTCATTAAAAAGCTAGTAAAACATTTACAAGTGCAACAATTAATTATAGCTTTACACCTCATGCAACAAAAACGGTAAACAATAAAAATAACAAGTGATTCCTTGGATGCTTAAACCAAAAAAAAAGAATGCAATTATAATTACGTACCTAATACTTTTTACAGCAAAAGTACTTGAAGCTGAAAATATGTAGGTATAAAATTCTCTATTATTTGTAATTTTATTAATGTAATCAATTTAACACAACACTATACTGCATTATAATTAGCTTGGTAATTATAAATAGGGTGGGACCTCAAACACTACCCTGAGGTACACCCCTAAAAACCAGTATTTCATGCCATCAAAGTACGCAGATGATTTTAAAATCTAACAGCAATCTGCTTCTAATCTCTTTGCTCATATATTTCTGTACGGGTGTTTTAGGTATACTTTTTTTTTTATTTCTATTTATTATTTTGGGGTTTTTATCCACATGGATATGCCAACCCCATTTTTAGGTATACGAAATTTGAAATGTTTGTATAAGGTTTAGAAGAAAACAAATGATACTAGATTCAAAGTTACAGTAGTTTTTTTTATTTATTATTCAAATGTATTTTTACGTTATTATAAGTAAATAACAATATATCATGCCTAGCACAAATCTAATATCACTTAATCAAGATTACTTTTATTCATACTATACTATGATACGATACTTATTAAACTGTCTAATCTCTGAAAAAACGTTTTCAATTCTAGTTTAATAATAACTGCCTCGTTGGCCGAGTGGTTTCAAATGCGACTGCTGGGCAAGGGGTCTCGGGTTCGTTTCCCGGGCTGGGCAAAGAATTACTGGGTTTTTAAAAAACAATTCTCAGTAGTAGCACGGAGTCTGGAAGTGTGCCCGGTATATGGCAATAGGCTCACCCCCTATTACATGGGCACTCATAACATCAGTAGTGAAAAATGGGTGTTATATTGTACAGTGGTATAATGTGCATTTCTGCCTACCCCTTCGGGGATAAAAGGCGTCATGTTATGTTCAATAAAAACATCTTAAAAAAAATCAATTCAACTTTATCATCAATTCTTTGAAAGCGTTGAAAAAAAAGTAGATTAATAAAAACATATAGTGGTGTTAGCTTGTCGGCCAGTCGATAGGACAGTCGACAGGCACGACTCGACGCACACTTGACGTGCAAAATTGAACATTATTCGCAAATTGAATCCGTCGGTACCTGTCAACTAGGTTCATATTTTGTTGGCTACTACCATTGGATCTCGAAGGGAACTCACTTCTTTTTACGTGATCTAGTAAATAACAAAAGGTGAAAGGAAAATGTCGTGGTGGCCCGAAGGTTTAAGACACCTGCTTCTCATGTATGAGGGCGTGGGGTCGAAACCTACCAACGGCAAGTACCAATGTGACTTTTTCCGAGTTATATGTACCTACTTTCTAAGATTATTCAAATACTTTATACAAAATTAACAAATTATTTACACAAAGATTATTCACCACTGACAAACGGCAAAAGAAAACATCATGAGGAAACCTAGGCTTATAATTTGTCTAAACCTGCATACCTATGACCAAGCGTGGTGGTTAATGCTCAAACCTTCTCCGTGTGAGAAGAGGCTTTACTCAGCAGTGGGCATTTATAGGCTGTTGATGATGAAAGGGCTCTCTAATGCTACTATTAATAAATGTGATTCTATGTGCCGATGCATGTCTGGTAATTCAATTTGATTATAGGTAAATACATATTTCAAAATGTGTCTTAATTTGTTTTCCTCTTGTTTTGAATTTTTTATAATGCTTTTTCGTATTTAACTACCTCGTTAGTCGAGTGGTCGCAAGTGCGACTGCCGGGCAAATGTCTAAGGTTCGATTCTCGGGTTGATCGATTGAAATAAAGATAAAGAACAAAGAAAAATCGTTTATTTGACATGAGACACGCACACACACACACACACACACACAGACACAAAATAAAAAAATAAAAATGAAAAGATTCCTTGGCAGGCGAACTGCATATCTCAGTTACCTACCCAAAATAGAAAATATCAACATTCATACGTTCGAGAAATCATAGTAAGGGTCACATCCACTTCCCACGACCAGAGGTAGTAAAACTCCCTTCACATCAGCAGGATTTTATGCCCACTAGCGCCACACAGATTCTGCGGTAAATGAAATTTTACTTACTG